GGTTTGGGCTTTGCTTCTGTGAAGACTGACAGCCTTGGAGACCCTGTGGTACAGTTCCACTCTGTCCTCTAGGGGCGCTGTGAGTCAGAAGCAGCTTCATGGCAATGGGTTCAGTTTCTGGTTTGGGCTAAAAAGGAAATCCATGTTGTGCCCCAGGAACAGGAAGCAGGCCTTCTCCACAGTGTGAAATGCCGTGTTGGTGTGTTGTTGTCTTTGTTGTTGGGGGCCATCAAGTCAATTCTGGGAGGCCGCAAGTGACAGAGTGGAACTGCTCCAGAAGGTTTCCTAGGCTGTCACCTTTACAATAGCAGATCATTAAGTCTTTCTTCTACAGAGCCGCTGGGTGGGTTTGAACTGCTGACCTTTCTGTTAGTAGCCAAGCACTTAACCACTATGCTGCCAGGGCTCCTTGTATATGGTGTAGCCTGTTGTAAACGCTGTTGAGATTACGTGTCGAATAGAAACCCTTTGCCTGTTGTCCTAGTGTGGGATGTGACCACACACCTCCTGATTTGATTGTCCGTTCACACCCTCAGACAGTTGTCACTTGGCTGAATGGTACAAAACCTTGGTTGTGTGTTAGTCAGTTTTGAAATCATGCCTAAAAATGATGTGTCTTTTATTATAACAATAGATCTCTTTAAAGTGTTAAAAAACACAGATGTCACCCTGAAGACTGAGGTGCATTTGACTCAAGCCGTGGTCTTTTCAGTCACCTTACATGCACGTGAAAGCTGGACAATGAATAAGGAAGACTGAAGAAGGGTCGATGGTTTTGAACTGCAGTGTTGACGAAGAGCCTTGAATACACCATGGGCTGCCAGGAGAATGAACAAATCTGTCTTGAAGGAAGTGCAGCCAGAACGCTCCCTAAAAGTGAGGATGGCCGGACTTCGTCTCAAGTACTTTGGACGTGTTATCAGGAAGGAACCAGTCTCTGGGAAGGACATCATGCCTGGTTAAGTAGAGGGGCAGCAAAAAAGAGGAGGACCCTCAAGGAACTGGATGGACACTGTGGCTGCAAAAATTACCTCAAACATAGCACTGATTTTGAGGGTGGTGCAGGACCAGGCAGTGTTTCGTTCTGTTGGACATAGGGGTGCAATGAACTGGAACCAACTTGATGACTCAACAACAGCAATGTTGTTATAATGCACAGCCTCCGGTAATTTCTCTTCCCTAGATGTGTGTGTGTGTGTGTGTCTGTCTGTGTCCTCCTTGGAATGGGTCCAGCTCTCTCAGGTTCCAGAACCCGACACACTAAAGCTTAGAAAGGAATAACTGCCCTTTGAGCTGCAACCATCTGCTGCCCAACAGCATATCCGCATTGTTGGCATTTTCCTTGTGTTGACTCTCTGGGCTGACAGTCTCCAAGTCTCACATCCCAGCCTGAGGATTCCCAGTGGGTTCTGCTGACAGTGTGCCATTCCATCCTCTGTAGTGTTGGTAGTTCTGAGTTATGATAGGCCCCTGAACCTCCATGCCAGGATCTAAACTGCCACAAACCGGAGCGACACCAACTGGAATTGGGAAAGGAGGAAAGGAGATTTGCGCCTTGTCCCACCTGTGCACCCGAATGGGGATGTCCCAGAGACACTGTGGGGATAAGGAGTGAGGCAGACCTGCTTTAAGGAGCCCGGAGGTACAGCAGTTAAGTGCCTGGCTGGTGACCAAATGGTTGGGAGATCAAGCCCACCCAGTGGCGCTCTGCAGGAGAAAGACCTTGCTATCTGCTCCCATAAAGATGACAGCCTTGGAAGCCCTAGAGGACACTTCAGCTCTGTCACTTGAGGTGGTTCTGAGTCGGAATCGACTTTATAGCACCACCACCACCACCAACAGATCTTCTCTAAGGGGCTAAACCTGTTTGCCCCGGAGTCAATGCCACGGTGGTGGGTGCTGTCAAGTCGATTCCAACTCAGAGAGAGTCCATGTGTTACAGGGTAGAATTGCCCCAGAGGGTTTCCAAGGCTGTAATCTTCATAGAAGCAGACTGGCAGGTCTTTCTTCCACCGCGTGGCTGGTGGGTTTGAACCTCCAGCTTTGGGTTAGCAGCTGAGTGCAGAG